TGATTGCCTATATTGCGTAAGGGCGATGAAAATGCTTAATAATAAAGCTAAAAAGACAAAAAAAAAAAAAAAAAAAGAAACTGGGTTAGCAGGGGCGGCTGCAACAGCAGACTGCTAGACTGAGAGCTCAGCTTAAAAAACCTTAACAAACCCTTTTGGGTGACTGTTAAAATCTGAAACCTTTCAAAAAATTTTCTTTTTTGTTTATTTAATTGTTTAAAAAATTTAATTTTAATACTTATCTTAGGCTATGTCAGTCTGATGCATATAATGGTTAACGTTGCTGCCTGCCTCAGTGAGGGGCTCCAGTTCGTGCTTCGGCGATTTTTAAAGGTATGTGTCTTTGAGGCATATGGCATTAAAAATACACTGTGAGTAGAACGTTTTCTCGACTGTTTTGGTGGTAGCAGAAGAGATGTATGAGACTTTTGGACCTGACCCACCTGAGTGTTCCCCTTCGAAATGGAAACGAAATTTGGCAGAGTCGTATTGTAGCCTAGAAATTGTCCAATGTCCATGTCAACTCTTGTCACCATAAAATTCGTGAACTTGTTCTCATGTTACTGTCACACAAATGAAATAATTAAAATAAAATTATCTAAAAGTTTTCGGATTTTATATTACGCCCAAAGGGGCTTTTCTAAACGTTTTGTGTGTTACCTTTATTTATTAAATATCATGTTCTTCGCACTTAAACCGTAAAATTCAATTCAACAGCAATATCTCAAATTAATTTTAAAATGAGCATATCTTTAGAATTTCCAATACGCAGTCTCACGCGCTGGAGATAATTTTTTTTTTTTTTTCGTACAGTGTTGCCATTGCTCGCTTTGAAATCGTTGAGTTTCTTAAACAAAAATTCGTTACATTTTAACAAAATATGAAATAGATAATAAAAAAAATTCCAAATTCCATGTTCGGGCTTCCAGATTCCCATATTCTAGTGGTGGACAGCTTATTGAAAATTTGATGATTCTAGGTACCATTCATTTTTCGCACCGCAAGAAACAAGAAACATACATACATTCATGCAGATTCTTCATTATTTAATTTCTTTAAATATAATGCGGGGCTGTAGTATTTGGTGGAAACAATTTGAAAAGTGAACAAACATTTATAGTGAACCAATGCAAAATGCAAAAACGAAATTAATAATCCTTCTGGGCTAATGCTCTTTGGGCTAATAATAGAAATATTTACCATAAGGCATTGAGTAATAACAAAATAGACTAAAAATGCATTTAAGGAATGAATTAAGAAGTGTATTTCAATTTTATGCATTCCCAGTATGCTGTTTTGTTATTGTTTTATTATTTCATTTCGTTCTCTTAAAAGTTTCCTTTTCTTATTTAATTTCTTGCTATTATTTTGTAAACTTCATTTTAATTAATATTTCTGATTTTCTCTAACTGTAATGTTTTTTAATATAGAGTTTACGCCTTGATTGTAAGATCCATAAATTTATATACTAAGTTGAATCAAATCATGAAACTCCCGTTTTCGTCGCATCTGTGACATAATAAATCAAGGTAAATGTCTATATCAGTTATTAGCCGTCTATGCACATAGAAGGTATCTTTAAAATAAAAGGAATTTGATTTATTTTGTACACTATACATTAAATAAGTCCTCTCTTTCATCAAAAACTTTACTTAATTTGAGTAATTTTTAGTCCAAAAGAGCAATTTACCGAGAAGGATTATTAATTTCATGTTGGGATTTTGCGTTGGTTCACTATGAATGTCGGTTCACTTTTCAAATTGTTTCCACCAAATATTATCGCCTTGTATTATATTTAAAGAAATTAAATAATAATGAGGAATCTGCATAAATGTATATAAGTTTCTCGCACTGTGATAAACCAAAGTTATCTAGAGATATCCAATTTTGAACAACGTAGTCCTCCATTCGAATATGAGCATCTGAAAGCCCAAATTTGGAATTTGTTTTATTATCTATTTCATATTTTGTCAAACTAAAGAATTTTTGATTAACAAACTCAACGATTTCCAAAGCGAGCAATGGTAACACTGTACGAAAATAAAAGAAACGTTTTTATCTCCAGCACGCGAGACTGTGTATCGGAAATTCTAAAGACATGCTCATTTTAAAATTATTTTGCGATGTTGCTGTTGAACTGAAATTTATGGTTTAAGTGCAAAGAACATGACATTTAATAAATAAAGGTAGCACACAAAACGTTAAAAATCGCCACTTTGGGCGTAATTGTTGTGTTTTGGTTAAAAGCTTTAATTTTTTTTTTTTAATTTATTGTATAGATTTTTTTTATTAAAATTTTTTGTATAAAATTGCAGATATAATTGGATTTATTGTTAGAATCATGATCGAAACTCCGAAACTGCCTTCATAGATAATAAGTTATAGATGATTTCATAAATATTAGGTTATTTGTATTAATAATAAATTACTGTATTCATAAATGTTAAACTGTTTATAGTATCCGCATACAAATACATTCCGTAGCATTTCAATAAACACTTACGCATGCTTTTCATTAAATGTTACGCAAGATACTCGATTAGATCATTTGGATTCCGCTTGTAATTTTCAAATAATTTTGTTTTTAAATTTTGTCATTGCGTATTTTGTGTTAAATAATTTTCCATAGAAATCGCAAAAAAAGCTAAATTAAGAATGTGGCATTTGTAATAACAAAGTTTGCTACTTTTATGTTGCAGTAATAAAATAAAATAAGAACTCAAGGCATTTGGAAATCGAAACTAAGTCCTCGGTTTCGATTTTATCGCCAAATGAGAGTAGAAAGAAGCCAAGGTAAACAGGGCAACCATGTCGCCAAAGTAGCCAAATTCAGAAAGTGAAGAAAGAAACTACGCGATTCTTTATGCTTCTGTTTAACGAAAACAATAACAATTTCATTAAATTGCTGTAAACTCCGAGAATTTAAACACAGAATTAATCGATACTTTATAATATACTAATTTAATTTTATGGTTCTATTATTTTTTTTCTCTTAAGCAATATTGGAAAGTATTTATAACCACGCACTCTATATAAAACTCATAATACTGTGAAAGTAATAAAAAAAAATGTCAACTATTTGAAAAGTGAAACACCGTTTATTATGAGCCAACACAAAATGCCAAAACGAAATTAATAACCCATCTGGACAAATTACCTCTTTGAGCAATAAAGTTCCTACGTTTAAAGTTTCGAGCGTTTTTACAATTATCATATATTTCTTTTTGTTGTAAAGTAATGAAGAAATTAAGATAAAACTATTTAGAAAAATAATCAATTAAAATATAAGAGAGAAAACTAATACTCAGATTATTTTCTTTCTTTATATTTTAAACATGTAAGCACTTGTCCTTCATGTATAAGGTATTTCTCCCGCCTTCCTAGCATACCCTCGTGGTGTGGTGGTCTGCACGCTGGGCGCAGTGGTCCAGAGGTCCGTGGTTCGATTCCCGGCCAAAATGTTGCTTATTTTTCATCTTTCCTGCTTCTATTAAAAATGCCTAATGTCTCTACGCATGTTCTTGTTTAAGATTTAAACTACAGTAAAACTGTTAAATCTTTGGATCGAAAGAAACATCGGAATAATATACTCCTCAGCAAATTATGAAATACTTCAGAGTTGCCCCCCTCCAAAAATTCTTAACAGTATTTTGAAAAATGTGCGAACACATAAGATGAAATATTTCTTTACTGAGCAAAACCTTTCAGCTGAGTATATCTAAGCATTAAAATATGTGTCAATTATCAAAGAATAAAAATAACAGTAAAAAGCAGGTTACACAAGTAATTAAAAAGTATTAATTAAGGGACTTAAGGATTAACTTGTGAATTGAGATAATTAGGGATAATTAAGATTAACTCGATAATTAAGAATTAACTTGCGAATTAAGATAATTAGGATTTTTGAAGCTTAAGAACTTGACTTCAGTATCACTACATATATAGAGCCCGAAAATAAAATATTGAAATTTCAGTATTAAATTGAAGATTATTTGTATCGAAATTGTTCAAAGAGATGCTATAAGTCGGAGAGAAGTCAGTATGTAAATCCTTATTCTGAGAAATTAGTTCATGCAAATTACTAGAGTTTGAAATAACAGAATACATTTTAAAAACAGTTTTGTATAGTGACATTCATGTGAAAAACAACGTTTTTCATTATTATTTACAAAAGTAATTGAACAAACACCATTGAATAATTAAAAGTAAATTTACATAAAAATGAATAATTATATATGCATATAAACAACAACAAAAAAAGTGATGAGTTGCATTAAATATATATTAGCGGGCAAAAAGTAAGAACATAAGTGATGTAAATCAATTACTATCGAACTAAAATTTCAGTCGTAGCATTAATTTTAAAACTATTTAAACAGTTTAAATAAATTGTTAGACCTATACTGAAATTATTGGTTTTTATGATTAACACCAAATATTTCCCCAAATTTAGATAATCCTATGACACATAACTTTGTTATATTGATATTTTTCATTATAAAGTATTGAATAATAATTGTTGTTATTTATGGTCGTTTTTGAACATTCATATACTCAAAAACGACTGATAATTAACTATAAAGGTTTTCGAAAATGTGTGCATTTTGTATTATTTAATTTTATAATTTTAAGGAAGGTTAAATTTTGTTTACCTGCATTATGCATGAATTTATATATGGGCAACATTTCAATGAGGACAATGGAATTTTGCAGTCAATTATATTATTTTGTAAGTAAAATTTTCAATAAAAAGAGCAAATAAAGCAGATTTTTTAAAATTTCTTATTTATATTCTGTCATTTATTATACGTATTTAATAATATTTGGCTTCTCGAAACATCACTGGTAAAAAAACTTCCTCCATCTGACAATGAAAAAACCTGTTTGACGAACGCGTAGCGATAGCTTCGCCAAATGTGTCGACCATGAGCAGTCGAACCGCCTCAAGGTGTGTTACAATCCGATCAGCTCTCATAGAGCGCGGTGGAACAGAGCGACAAAAAATCCTTCTTGCATTTTCGAGTTAGGTCACTCAGGTGGCGCACTTGTTCGGGTAGCGAGTGTGCTACGCACGCACACAAACGGAAGAAACAAGCTCTTAGGATTTGTGCTCGCCCATCCTCGAGTGACTTTCGAGTCTCTTCGCCATAATGCTCAACTATGGTGAGGGTCCCGCGCCGGTTGCATCGACAGTGGTCAACCGGCGAAGAGCTGGTGGAGACCAGCGCTTCAATTGTTCACAACAATCTGTACTCAGCGCAATTGATAGATTTGTGAGAGCTGTCAATAATATGGACGCGACGGTTCTGGTTCCATCTCGCCTTCGAGACATGGAGGTCCAGAACCGTCGCAAAAGTTGTCCACCACCACCACCTGGTCTCCAGCATCATCAAGACCTCTTTAGTTTTTATTCTATGTTGAAGGATGTCAAAAACGAGCTACTATGGGGACCTTCATCAATGGGTGCGACACTCTTCCCTGTTGTTAGTTCCTTCAGTGGTATGTCCAGCCCTCGGAGACCCCCCATGGGTATGATGATGACCACTGGAATGACCACACCGCGGCAACCATCTGATGATGGATTGGGCAGTAGCACAGGTTGCTCATCGGACCAAGACACAGACAGTGACTTCGAGAGCATCATGACAGACCGCGAAAGCATGATCATGGAACAGACTTCACATCTTGCGACTGCTTTCCGTCATCATCTTCATGGACTTCATGCTATTTTGCATCAGTTAGCAGATTCTGCGGATTACTTGTCCAGTCGGTATCAAGAAGAAATTGAGTCTCCTATAGCGTAGCTGCCGATGGTTAATTTGTGAAGGACCTCTTAATTATGGATAGATAAGTGCTTCATGTCAGGCGAAAGACATCTCATCGCAGTGTTATGGTGTTCCTTGCTCAATTGCTGCTACGAATATATCCCCTACAATAACACACATTAACTTCAAAATTCAGGAAAATGTGTTGTACGAGATCATTCAAGGAGTACTTACCATATCCTGCATTCAGGATTTTGAATTCGAATAACATCGCGGAATTTAAACTCTTAACAATTAGAAATAATATCATTATCTATTGAGCAATTCAGAAGAAACATCCATTTAATTATACTTCTCGTGAATCTGATATCACAATAAAATGCATATATTGTGAACAATTAATTCATGATGAAAACAAAGTGCTTTAATGATAAGTGAATTTAGTGCCAGTACACCAAGAGTCTTCTGCCAGGAAATGTGTACAAAGATAACTTGGTTAAGTGCTACATCATGTGGTATTAAGTCATTTTTATAGTGGTGTTTAAAAGTTTTGCCCTTGAAATTTAAACACATTTTTGTGACTCGGTTTATGGATTCAGGCTATTGCATCAATAATGGTTTTAAGATTTACTTTATATGATATTTTAAAATGTTTCCTATTTAAAAATTATCAGGGAAAAGCAATGTTAATATTATGGTTTGAGTTTTAATGTCATATTTATGAATATAGTTAAAATGCTCATTATTTTAAAACATAGTTTAAAGCAGACTTTTGAAATATTTACATTTTTAGTAACTTATATTTAATTACTCTTTTCACAAACGTTGGAAAAACTTGATATGTAATAAATTATGTTTTGTTTGTAAACAAACATTTATTCAAAATTATAATTTTTTATGTGGCTCTGAAGTGTTTAATATGCTGCTAGTACTGATGAAAGTGCAATATTGAAGCAAGTTATATTTTGCATTCTTACAAAAAAATACTGTTTTCTTTTTTTAATAAATAGAAGTTGGTTTAGCAATTAATAATTTTTATGAAAATTAAAGAACTCAAAATCAAATTATTTAAAAATGATTTAAGTCTATGAATACCTGAAATTTCGAAACTTCTTTCAGAGTTTTATGCGTTACGAAACTAAATTTATTGCTGTTCTGAACTTTAATGTATCTAAGCTGAGTTGAATAATAATCATGTAGAACTAAATTATCTAATCATAAACTTAAATGAAATTGTACCTGAATTATATTTAGAAGCAAGTTGTGAAAATTAAAGAAATTAAATTTTTTTCCAAAAGTAAAATTATAAAATAACACCGGATATGTTTAAAAATTTGAAATTTAATTTATGCATGGTTAAATTTAGGATTTCGGAAATTTAATGTCATTTGAATGTAAATTCTATCATCAACGACAAATAATATTTAATTTGAAGAATAAATAATATCTAGAACATAATTATAAAATTTCTTTCAACTTTCACGGTGTACTGGCATTGTATTGTTATCCCAAAATATACACATATCCTTTATTTTTAAGGAAAATGTTGAAATTGTTGAAAATATGTATGAAAATTTCGTATTTATCACAGCATGAAATATAACAGTTTTTATGAACGAAATACCAAAATAAGAGGTCAATGTACAAGAACTACTTTTTCAGACGATTTGTCTTCATAAAACTAGTCTCAGTTATAAGCCAAACGTGAGTGATTAAGAATGTGTGAAATGTGAGTGAACTTTATACATAATACTCGTCTTTGGAAACATTTACGCTTTTCTATTCCTTTATTTTAACTTGTACGCATCTCAGTGTATTTTACTTCATACTTTCTGATGTCGCATGCGATGTGAATTAGGAAATGAAGCGAAATCAGTTTGAAAATTGTGTAGAAGGATAACGGAGGATTCTTTTATGATACTGACAGAACAATTATTTGGAAACATCATGTGCTTATTGAAAGTTTCGCCTGATCAAAGGAATTGGATATTATGTGCTAGAAAATTTGATAATGCTGTGGAGACCTTCAAATTTTCCAAATGAAGAGAAAAAACTTTACCTGAGCAAAGTAAGTAAATTAATGATATTTTTTATGATTTAAAAGATATTTTTGATCCCCATTATGTTTATAAAGTAAAAAAATATTTTAATATAAGCTAGTATGTTTTTAAATAGAACATATATGATGAAGTTTTAATATATTATATAAAATATATATATATATAAAGTCCAATTTTCACATTAACTCTGAACTGTAAAGGTGCAACTGAAGAATCATTAATTTGCATAAACGATGTGCCGTACGCACATGAGCGAATATGTTACAAAAAAATTCCAGATGTATCTTGGTTTTTCAAGTATATATATTATTTCAATATTTTATTGTAAATTATTGACTTTCCTGATAAAATTAAAAATTACTATGTAAATTTCGTAAACATTAAAATATATTGTCTGATTCTAAGTTAGGTTAATGCTAATAATTATTTTTATAAATTGGAAATTTTTTTTAAAATGAAGTACAGATTTTGTTTTAATTGTCTGAACACGGTAATAGAAAGTGTTCTGCAAAATTAATGTGAAAATGCTATAAAACACCTAATTATTAAATTATTCACTATTCTTTAATGAATTAAAGTAAAGTGTTTCCTATCATTACGTTAAAACATTTTCGATACATTCAAGAATAAATTTTTTGATTTGGGTAATTTATTCATGTTTGTTACTGATTTGAAATTAAAACTTCTGAGAATGAATTTAGGGATCAACTACACCTCAGCAATTATTTTGAAGGATTTGTATGTGTAAAATAAAAGCATTCGTGATTATGCTTGCAGCGGGCTATTTATTTTTGGTGAAAATGTTTATTAAACGTATCACAATGAATTGTGGATATAAAAGTGAAGAATCATTTTTTAAGTAATTAAAAGTAACGTATCCTTTATTAATTAAATATTTTGCTATACTATATCTGCATAAAACGGCGGGGTTTTCTTTTATAGAACTTCTCACTCACAATGTAGTGTCCGTTTTCATAAAATTTTGGAGTTGAAAACAAGTAATGGAATTAATGTATATGAAAAGGAATAATATAGCCCCACCTTTTTAACACTAAATGTTGTTAAAATGTAAAATACTTTCATTGCAGTGGCAGCTGATACTATTGATCGATATTAAATCTTACCAGATGTAAATGATTTGGTATACGCTATAGAATTTTGAGAAATTTACGCAGAATTTAAAAAAAAAAAAATACGATAAAAATTCTATGCTATATTTTTTATTCTGACACATTAAATAGATTTTTCTTATTTCTTAATTTAGAAATATGGTTTTAGTTTCAGCGAAATGTATGGAATAATCCAAAAAAAGAATGTTTAAAAATTTTATCGATTTATTAATCATGTAAAGTGGTAATGAACACACGATCTTAAGTACTGTACTGTTATTTACTAAAGCTAACGGTAATTTTCTAAGTGTTTTGTATGGGCTTACCTGTGTATTGAAAATCAGGTATGTGATATAGATTCTGTTATAAAAACATATATTAGAATATACTCATTGAACGGGATAAAATTAATTTCTATGCTTTAAATTCAATTTTAATTTAGAGAAAAGCTTTTAAAAACTTGAAATTAAGTGTTATTTTTTTCTGTAAACTATTTTTGTGCACTGCCAAATATAAGCTATTTCTACTTTATTTATGGGAAGTATTTGTTACGTACCTCATCGCATGTAGGGAAAAAAATGAAAAAAATATGTTTTTATGTTTATAATAATATTTTTTTTTTTTTACTTTTTCTTTTTTTAAAGGGGCAATTTAATGGAATAATTTTATAGTACTTTTTTTTTTTCATTTTGCTCTGTTGTCTGAATAGCTCGTTTTAAATGTATGATTTTATGGTTGTATTTTGAATTACTGGGGATTAAATTTTGATAAGCTTAACGCAATTCTTTAGCTTAAAACTGATTCAGTTTTGTTTGTTCTGTATAATAAATTAACAAAGCTGCTGCTATCTAAGAATTCCTAAAGTAGTTTAAACAGAATACAAGGGACGCATAAATCTATTAAATATTATACATGAATTCTATTTCAATAGCGTTTAAATTCGATATTTGTATTTTTTTACAAATTTTAATAAGAAATATTATTTTTAAGTAACTTCAGCTTACTCACATGCGCTCATTTCGAATTCATACCGGACAGTGAAATTAACGTTATAAAATAGTTTTACTGTGAATGATCTAAATTTTGGAAACACTGGAATAGTACGCTCATAAAATGCTAGGTGGCGTTAACTTTGGAATGTTTGAGTTGTCTATTACTTAGCAGGTGGAAGGAGTTTTGAGGTTATGTGCCCAAAAAATAGAGATGCATCTATAATAATAGTATTAAAAAAAGTAAAAAGAAATTTATTTGAAGAGGGGGAACTGTTATTTACCGGTGCAAACGCAGAGAAAGAAAGAAAATGTCCACATCGTCGGTGATTCTCTGCTCCCGGAATCGAATTCAGATCTCAACTATTAGTATAAAATTCCAACACACAGTTACTAGCTGCCCACGTCGTATATGTGTACTTGTTGAGGGTGAAATAATCACAAAAACAGAAATGAATGCAATATACCTTATTTTAATTTAGTATTAAACATCAAACATTTAAATTGTTATTATTTTTTAACAGAAGAAGATATTTGGATAAAATGTTAAGGAAAGCTGGTTTATATAGATTCATTTAGAGAAATAATTTTTATAAATATGCATTTATTAATACAATTACAATAAACAGAGATATTAGAATTACTATTATTACTTCTTTTATTATTGTTGTTATTAATGGTAAAATTTAAACCATTCAAAATTAATTCTCAATCAAACAGCTTTTTGCCTTTTAAAACAACGTTTTTTGAAGTACAGCATAATAACCATATGTGAATTATATTTCAATAGAATAATGTTATCTTTGATCGTCCATACATCCTTCTCAAGCATTTTAATTAGTCTTGTAAATGTATAAAAATTAGTACAGATTTAGGAACTTAAGGATATATTAAATATATATATATACATATATACTATGTTTAATATGAGTTAATTTGAATAAAGAAGTACAAAATAAACTAATGTATATGCAAGTAAAATTATTAGAAATTAGGGTACATGATTAAAATAATGGTGTTTTAAATAATCAGAGATATATATGCTTCCAGCTATTCATTGAGTAAGATACTTGCGAAATTATATTTTAAAACCGATGATAAATTCAGAGTTTAGAAATAACAGGAAAAATAACTAAGTTTCGATTTATTTAATGTGTTGTTTCTCTTCAAAAATTTTTATTAAAATATTTACTGATTTTTAATTTTAAGAATCCTGACACCTAATATTCGAAATAGCAATTCGAAGGTGCATTGATTTGTATCTCAGTCAGTTTAAAAAGTGAATTTCTAAACGAATTGATAGCAATGCCGTTATTTTCCTTAATACGTTAATTTCATTAAATAAATTTGAATCAAAATTAAGGAAATTAAAAATATTTAAGAATATGTTTTAAAATCTGTAGAATATTTATTCTAAACTCTCCAAATTAACAACTCAAGTTGTTAATCTTAAAACTCTCCAAATTAACAACTCAAGTTGTTAATCTTAAAACTCTCCAAATTAACAACTCAAGTTCTGATATGTTTGTTTCAGATAAACTCTAATTCTGCGCAGTTTATTTTTCATATCCATTTCAATATTGTAATTTATTGTTAGCTTTATTTTAAAAATTTGTGTATTCACGAATGTGAATTACTAAACAGCAAATGAACGAAATATGTACATAAAAATACAGAAGCCAATTAGCTATCTGAAGCAATTTTTATGATATTTTAAAATATTAAAATATATCAAATTCTGAATAATGTAGTCCTCCACTTGAATATGAGCACATGGAAGCCCTAATTTGGAATTTGTTTTATTATTTAATTCATAGTTTGTAAAACTAGTTTTTGATTAATAAACACAACGATTTCAAAGTGAGCAATGGCAACACTGTACGAAAAAAAAAACATTTGTATTTCTAGAGCGCGAGACTGTGTATCGGTGTTTTTTTTAAATACTTTGTGATATTGATGTTGATTTAAAAAATAAAGGTAACTCACAAAACGTTAGAAAAACGCTCCCTTTGGAATCATATAAAATCTGAAAGCTTTCAGACTTTTTTATTGGGCAGTATCTTATTAGCATAGGACAGAGAACTTTAACGGAACTTTTTCAATAAAAATGTAAAAAGTTTCAAAATTTTATACATAGATAAATTTGAGGAAAAACGAAGACGAATTCTCTAATTTAATTTAGTAAACAACTTCTCTTGCTGTGGAAAGATTATAAGCGATAACATTTCTGTCGTCAAATAATTTTGGCAAAGTTTTTCTGTCCTCTTTCAAACACTGCTGGTGGTGGGGGAACCTGCTATTAGATGATTTTTTTTTCTATTTGGCAAAAATCATTAGCAATAACATTTTAGTACATTTTAAAAACTTTATTTATTTATTTATATAAAATATGTCATTTGTACAATATTATCAGTAAAAAATTACTAAAAATTAAAAAGTAATGCCGAAACATATGGTATAGGTATGCATAGTGCTAAATTTCAGATAAAACATTTGCAAGCCAATAAAAACGTTTCACATATGTAAATCTTCTTTACAAAAATTTTCATGGGATAATAATTTTACTAATAATTCCATCGCGATAAGATGAATATTTCAATATTTCATTAACCTGTGCCACTAGTGTTACAAAATATGGGTGTCTTGGCCAAGCGCAATTACTCATATCTCTGCAACTTTACGCGAAACCTTGACCGGCAACTAGTTTCCTTCGGAAATCTGTTCCGCATTTAAATATCATTGTATAATCTAAATTCATATTAAGGCCATTAAAATAACCATAAAATTGCTTCTAAATATTGAGAAATTTTTCTGAAAAGATGGACTCATAGGTATGCTAGTCTTCCTCTTTCGGAATAATCCTTAGAAACTTTTCAAGAAATTTTTAACTCAGATATATTTTTTTCCCTC